ATTGTAGAGAGTAGAGTAGTACTTGAGTCCGAAGATCTCGGAAATAATGGCGAACACCAACGGCCACTGGGCTCCGAAGCAGAATCCGATGATCACTGAGGCGACATACAGAGAATTTGGGACTGCAAATGCTATTAAGAGGTGGCCGACGCAGGAGATGAGGTGCACGATCGTGAGAAGCAGGGGCCGGGGAATCTTGTATTTTGTTAGTAACACTTCGGAGGAGAATCCGGAAACCACTCGTCCAAGGTAGTTCCATATGCTGACGAGGGAGACGAAGGTTGTGGTGGCGTGCCTTGGGTAGCCTTGAGATGCCCCGATCTGACCCAAATTATCGATTGCAGTAAGTGTTCCACCGACACCGCAGGCGGTGGCGACGAACAGAATAAACATGTCGACGCTGAAAAGTGCTTGTAAGATTGTGAAATCCTCACCTCTGTTAGGCGGCTTAAAAACGTTTTCCAGACAGGAAACGTGCTTCTCTGTTTGAGGCGCCGCTGCCTCTGTTTTTGGTTCCTCTGTGACCGAAAGAAACTCAGCAGACGGTGAATTTTCAGACACCACTTGGAGCTGAGGAAGATCATTCAGGGCTTGTCTTTTGGTTTTCATGAGGTTGAATTCTTCTCTTATGACCACAGCAAGCGGCAAGAACAACAGAACGGTGACAACGAAGGCACATCCGAAGTACTCAATTCTCATAAAATTTAGCCTGTTCTGTATTATAATCAGGACCATGAGAAATCCGGCGAGACCCAGAGAGATGTAGAGGAGGTGATAGAAAACTTTGAGCTCGTTTTCCTGCCGGACGATCTTAATAATCCGAATCGTTCTGAGGAAAATGAAAGACACTGCGGCCGGAAGCCAGGCAATGAACAAAATCAGAGCTTTTGAGTTGTCGTAGAAGGCATGGTACAATTGCGTCAAGATTGCGCCGCTGAGGCCAACGTAACCCTTTAACAGTCCCAACACGCTTCCTCTGCTTTCCGGGAAGTTCTTGACGCAGGTGACGAGAGCGCCAGTATTGGCGAAGGATTGAGAATTGGCACCGATGCATATGTACAGACACATCTGCCATACCGGAGGCTTCGAAATGCGGCCGGTGACGGCAAGCCAAATCATGAAGTAGCCGAAGAAGTTCATGATTGCCCCAATGGACAGAACCACCCATGGCGGCGTGACTTCGTTGATGAGTCCCGAAATGACCCCAACATTTCCGCC